AGGGCAGATGTTCCAGGCCCCTGATCATCCTGGTAGCCCTGCGCTGGACTCTCTCCAGCAGCTCCACATCCCTCTTGTACTGGGGAGCCCAGCACTGGACACAGTCTCCAGATGTGGCCTCACCAGGACTGTGTAGAGGGGGACGATCCTCTCCCTGGACCTGTTGGAGACGCTCTTTTTAATGGAGCCCAGGATCCCATTGGCCTTCTTGGCCACCAGGGCGCTGCTGCCTCATGGGCAACTTGTCCTCCACGACACCCAGGTCCCTCTCTGCGAGGCTGCTCTGCAGCAGGTCAGTCCCCAGCCTGTCCTGGTGCCTGGGCTTATTCCTCCCCAGAAGTTTGCCTTTACAGTCCTAACCTAGGGCTTGTTGCAGCATTTTTCCTATGCCTGCCTCTGAGCTGTGCTCCAAGATGCAGTGCTGGGATCATTCCAGTCCCATTTTCCAGCCAGGTAGGTCCACATGAGGATCCRTCCCCTGCGCCCAGCTCTGCTGCTGTAGTGGCCGGCACAGAGGCAGTGGGGAAGAGGTGTCCCTGCAGCCAGAGGGCTGCGGCTGGAGTGCCACTCGCTGAGGGCTCCTGCGCCCTGGCTCTGCGATCCTTGGCCCCGGGGAAGCTCCAACACTAGTGCTTTGCTTTGGTTAACATGGCCTTTTGGATAAGGTATCTMAACTAAGAAGCCAGTTTGTATTTGCTTGCTTTTTCCTTAAGACTTACTGTTTCTTGTTAAGGCTTTCAACATTTTTCTCTCTCTTTTCTTCTTCTTTTTTCCCCCTTTAATACTTACTCAGCTAACTGAAAAGGCAGTGCCCAGAGTGCTACTCATTCTATATATCATCTATACATCCGTGGTATCCACAGTGACAACGGAGCACAGCCTCGTGTGAAAAAGCTTCTCCAGACAGCGCAGGCAGGACCCGACACCAGACAACAAAGCTGTGATATTAGCCTAGGTAGGAGATGATTAGATCTGCTGGGCTACATGTTAAAACTGGGGTGCCCACCAGCCAAGGAGGAGAAGGTTTGTTGTGGAAAGATGGAAAAAAATAATCTCTCTACTTTGACTCTTTTGAACTCCAGTAATCCGTCCAAATAGGGGAGTGAAGACACATGCTGTAGTGGGTATTTTTTTGTCATATTTGTTGTCATATTTAGGGGAGCTGCTTTATCTGGGCCTCTAGGAATTAGGAGGAAATGCTGGAATGAGACGGATCCTGGCTGTTTCTGTTTAGCCAGTCCAACGTTTCAGTGGCTGCTGGTCTGCTGCACTTGCAGTGCTCTATGCAAATACATACTTGCAAAAAACCCAGCTAACTCTATGGGCGTTTTTCTGTAATTCACTCGGATGTGAAAACATCCGACAGGTTGGGAGAAATTCCTTTTCTCTGTACACTGAATCCTGACAAGAAACAGCTGCATTTCAAAAACAAACTTTCCAAGCAGCCGGCACTGAGATGAATTATTATTTTTATGCAGGCCAGATTCTCAGCTGGTTCAAGCAGTGATAGCAGCGGGCACTGCTGTGTCCAGATGAGGTGCAGCCCGGGCGCCGGGGCGGGAGAACCTCCTTGTTGCCACTGTGGTTCTGGCTTTCCAACTTTGGGCAAATTCTGTGCTTTCCCTCCTCAATTTGCCTGTGCCTGTAGAGCAGAAATAATGTCCCTCAGTCCCCGGGGGAAGATCCACGTACGTGAAGGCTTTCGAGGATGGAAAGGGCTCTGTACCAGCGATTGCTGCTAACTGGACATAAACCCAAAGCCTGTGGTGTTATCTAGCTCTCTTGTGCTGTACATGAATTGCCACGAGACACTGGAGCAGCTGATACACATGGAGTATCCAACAACTTGGAAATCACAGTGTGCTGCCAATGTGGAGCCAGGAGAGACTGCCTCGCTCCCATTTTTCTGACAGGCAGTAAAAGATATCACTAATTCTGGAGATTGTAAACTTCCTTTTTTGTTCATTTTCTTCAAACAAGCTGCTTGGAGCAGCTGGGGGCCAGAGAAAAAAGGTTATTGTTTTTACAGGATTTAGTGACACTAATTGCTGAGTTGAATACTGGTGCAGCATTTAATTAGTAGCAATGTCTCAGCACACTGTTGGAATCTCATTTTGCTGCTCAGMTGCCAGATTGTTTAAATTTAGGTGCAGAGAGGTTTCCAGCTACACTTACTGCATTTTGTTATGTTGTATTCAATATATAATGCCTTTATTGGGAAGGTAAACATAACTCATTATTGTCTTGAGGTATTTTCCTCAACAAATTATTACAGATCTGAAATAGTCTGTGGCAAGATGAAGTCCAGCAGAGTTTCACATGGTTGGGCTTTGAAGTGCAATAGCTGCATGGCAGCACATTTCAAGCCAAACGTGTCAGCCCCTCTAAACCACAAGTTGGAAAACACAGTAATGCAGTAAACAACAGTAATAGGGAAAAAACTCAATTAGAGCTGTCTTGTGTTACAGTAAGTTAGTGTAACTGTGGTTTTGTCATCCTTCCAGGTTTGTTTGTACAGGGAGACTGCTCTTCCTACCCAGCTGATGCAGCTGGAGGGGAGAAAAAAAGTCAAACTTTCAAGTCCTTCAGAGCTTCATGTGCCTGAAAGACTCTCTGGTTATTTTGTTTTTCTTTTATCAGATCACGTAATGTTATTAAAAGATATTACCTCTCACGAACAAAATACTAAAGCCTCTGAGGTGGCACAAATGAAGGGCAGAAGTTGCTGGCTCTCACAGCGGAGGTTTTATCTGTAGCTCTGTGGGTATAGATTAAAGAAACTGTGCTTGGGAAGAGAAGGCATCTCTAACCACATTGTACTTGTCTATGATGGGTCTTAGACCTAGTTAGTGAGCTTGATACAATGCTACTTACCTGACTTGGTGCAGAGGGTCAGAAAAAAATATTTCAGTGGTAAAACTAAGGAGCTGGCTGAGAAACAGAGGCTGACACAAGGTGTCCATGGCTGTTTTGCAGCTGCGGCGGCTGTTCGGGAGCACCGTCCCGCCTTTCCCTCCCAAGTTTTACCTGGCCATGACGGAGGCGATGGCTGAGGAGAGGCGGGCTCGCCTGGAGCAGTACCTGCAGAACGGTATGGGCAGCCTCTGCGCCGAGCAGCCCCAGCAGCTTTCACACAATCACAGGATGGTTGGGGTTGGAAGGGACCTCTAGAGATCATCTAGTCCAACCCCCTGCTCCAGCAGGGACACCCAGAGCACGGGGCACAGGGCGGCATCCAGGCGCGTTTGGAGACCTCCAGAGAAGGAGACTCCACAGCCTCCCTGGGCAGCCTGTGCCAGGGCTCTGTCACCCTCACAGGGAAGAAGTTCCTCCTCACATGGAGATGGAACTGCCTGTGTTGCAACTTAACACCCATTGCCCCTTGTCCTGTCACTGGCCACCACTGAGAAGAGCTTGGCCCCTTCCTCCCTACATTCCCCCTTCATGTACTTAATACATATTAATTGGGTCCCCCCTCAGCCTTCTCTCCTCCAGAGAAAACAGGCCCAACTCAGTCTCTCCTCGTACGAGAGATGTTCCAGTCCCTTAATCATCTTTGTTGCCCTCCGCTGGACCCTCTCTAGAACCTCCACATCCCTCTTGTCGTGGGGAGCCCAGACCTGCACACAATACTCCAGGTGCAGCCTCACCAGAGCTGAGCAGAGGGGCAGGATCCYCTCCCTTGACCTGCTGGCAACATCTTCCAGATGCAGCCAGGATCSCCTTGGCCTTCTTGGCCATCGCTTGCTTTCGCAAGCAGCACTAAACCCCTGCGAACGTGTCCACGGATGTGACTGAGGGAGCTCTACCTTTTACACTAGGTTTGAGCAAGGGGCATCCCAGGGGCTGGGATTAAGTGTTGCAGCCCTGTCCCTTGATTTAACTGCCTCTTCGTTGGCAGTAAATCTTCTTTCTCCTCTTAGCCCTGAACTGGCTGCCTTTCTGCAGCTCTCACAGGCTGTGAGGCTGCAGGTTTAGAGTCGACTCCAGCCAACTTGTCCCTCTGTTGGCAGCCCGCAGTCGGGTCACTCTCTGCTTTCTTGGATGAGTGACCAGAGCTGCCGGCCCTGCTGCTTGCCTGGATCATCGCTGGCAATTGTCAGGTGTGAAAACTCAYGGCTGCAGGGGGGAAGGTGGGAGCCAAAGAGTAGCTGCTGCTCGGGCTGCTAGAAGCAAAATACGGAGCTGGGCTCTGCGGAAACCTCTTCCCTCCAAGGGTTTCCAGGCAGATTTGTGAGACTATCAGAGTCTGTGGGAAAATTAAATCTCTGGAGCACTGTACAGAAACCAAAGGATAAGCAGAGTAGCAGTGACTGTTTAATTAGGAGTCATATTGTACTTTTTTTTAAGACATTGGCCATACTTTTACCCTTTAAATTTGTTTTCCTCTCTCTCCCTTTTCCTCATATTTTTCAGTTACTTTAGATCCAAATATTACCAGCAGTGATGTCTTCGTAAGTTTTTTCCGAAAGCTACAGCAGGTAAGTTTTGAACGTTTCAAATAAACAATTTCTTCTATGAAGAGCTGAATTTTTRTCTCACCTCCTGGATTCAAGGCTTTCTTGTGGTCCTACTTGTAACATAGTGAATTGTGATGACTCTCTATGAAGCCTAGGTGCTAATAATAGTGTTATTGTTTTGTCCATCTGCTAACTTGTTTCTCACATGGAGAGAACTGTTTGCTTTGTTTTTATATCCTGTGGCCTATCTGATGAATCTCTTGCCTCTGAACAGTTCCCAGAAGAGTCTTTGTGAGAGCTCAATAGGAGGATTACCTACATTCTTGGATTTTGCAACTGTAGACGCTTTTTGGTTGTGTCAGGACTTTGGGCTGATAAGTGTATTGATGACTGCTGTGAAAACGTCAGCCTCCCTTATCTTGTAGCCACAGCGATGGGCACAAACTGGCATGGATCTGGGTTGTTGCAACCTGGATGACTTTAAAAATCCCTTTTAATTGGCTTGTGTGAGTGTCTTCGGCAGGGATGGGGAGCTGGAATATCAGGAGTACAGGGGAAGAGAAATTTCAATTTATCACCAAATATCACCAAATTTGGGAGGCATTTATACTCTCTGCACCTACTGCAACGCTAACACGTAGCAAACATAAACCCAGAAAACAAGGCCAGACTCCCAGAGACTGGCACGCYGGGCTGGCTTTGCAGAAGGACGTTGCTCTTGGCTGCAGACTGGCTTCAAGCAGGTACTTGCTGGGTCTGTCAGCACCGCGTGGAGCTGAGAGCAGCGAGTGCTYCTCAGAGTCGGGTCATTTATGGTCTGCTCAGCCCTGGGCTGATGTAGCTGCTGGATTTCCACAGGGCTGCAGCCCGCAGAGCCCTTGCTCGTGTCCCACAGCTCTGACATGCTCATCTCCTTCTGCTCGGCGAGGAGTCTTGGGGGGCTGTTGTTTGGAAGCCAGGTGGGTGCAATGCAACTCCAGGAGCTGCTTTGGGAAGGGCAGCCTGCTCTGGGAAGCGCCTGGCGCTGCTCGTGCTGCTGTGTCCTTGCTCACACTGCAGGCTCGCAAGGACCACGGGACCGTTTTGGGTCTCGATTCCTGCTCTCTGCCTATGTGCAGTTCAGGTGTGCAGGGAGACTCCTGGAAGGCTGTAGAAAATGGCGTGAAGGAACATTCCTAACACATTCTAGAAAGCCTTTCCCTATATGTGTTGTAAATAAAAAGTTGCAATTTGTGCACAATCTCTTTTAATTCATCCGTTAGTAAGGCACCCAAGCCAACCAGCAAAGAAGTGCCCACGGTTTCTTTACGGAGAAGCTCTCCAGTTTGGATGCGGTGCCTCTTGTGGTGGTGAAGATGGTTCCCAGCAATCACCASTGGGTATTAACCCGTCTTGATTAGACTGGCAACAGGTCTCTAAAGAAAGTTAAATGCATCGGGGATGCCTGCAGGTTTTCCTCAAATGCTGCCAACTGTTTTCTTTCTGTCAGAGACCTGGCTGGAAGTGAGATCTCACAATGCCCATTTGCAGTGTTCAGAAATGTCTTAGTGTGAAAGGGTTATGTTTTTATTTATTTATTTATTTTTCACCCRTCAGAAACAGTGTTTTATATTCAGGTTTCAATCTTCACTACAGGCCCTTCTGCAGGAGGGACTGTTTCTAAAGGTAACTCTTGATAAGTGCCTGCCTAGGACTTGCTTTATGCTTATGCACGTCTCTGTGTACTTATTAACGCCTGCAATGACTGTGCTGCCAAAAGCAGCCAGTTATTTTGCAGAGTTCGAGATAGGTACTGAATTATACTCTAAATGTTAGTGCAAGATTAGTCTGTTCCCGAGACACGAAACCAAACTTTTGTTCCACAGTGAAAGAGATTTTTCAACAATGTTTTAAGTTCCTGCTTGGCCAAGACAGCAGTTCTCCAGCTTTCTTGTTTATAATTTCAACTCTATAAAGGTTGTGCTTACCTAAATTATTGCTTCATAATACAAATAGCAGTAGTGCTTTATGTGTGCTTTCATTATGGCAGAGAACAAATTCCTGAGATCAAATAACTTTGCAAAAAACAGCCTTACATCCATGGCCATTAGCTGTGCGCAAATGCCTTTAATTGTGTAACTGGCAGCTGAATAAATATTCATTTGGGCTATTAAGGAATCTCACTTAACATGCTGGCTTTGTTGTGCACGTTCCAGCATTCATAGCCTACTAAGTGACTTGTGAAATGTTTTATGGCCAAGCCATAACTTCTGGAACAGTTTGGAAAGATGTGGAGTTAGTTCCTGTTTTAAGCACCCCTGGAAGGTCCCTTCCTTCCCCACGCTTGGACGTTTTGGGCAGCACTTACGCGTTTCGTGCAACGTTTGGGAGTGAAACATAGTTAGGGCTTTGGTCTTACTGCTACCCAGCATTAGAACCAGGCATCTCTGTGTGTTGCAGCCCAAAAAGGGATGATTAATGGACGATTCAGGAGCGAGACAGCACTGAGGCAAGGAAGCAGCGGGTGCCCTGCGTGTCAGTGAAGGGGACTGGTCTCAGCCAGGCAGCYGGGGCCACCAAGGTCCAGGCAACCAGCCAGGCCGCGCAGGTTGCCCCAGCACCTCCTGCCAGGGCTCACGAGCAGACCCAGGCAGCTTTCCTAGCAGAGGGCTTCAGTGCCAGGAGAATAAGAACATGAGATCTACAGGTGTATGGGACCGAGACTATTTTTGCTTAAATTCTACTACTGACTTTTCACCTTCACCTTTTTTTTTTTTTTTCCCCCCCCATAAGAGAGGAAGTGGAGCTGTCCTCTTGGATAGTCCTTTAATGCCAGCAGATGCTTCTTTTTCTCTGCCGGTCTTGGAAACAGCAGAATTTCAGCTTCTGCCTGGAGACCYCCGTATGTATCACTGCTTAAAACGGAAGGTACAAAGWAAAGAAAAATGACGTGAATTTAAGGCCTTCTTGGTGATATCCTATGTTTTGCTTCCAAGTGGAGTTGTGAAGGGTACGCTGGGAATGGGACTCAGGTGAAGAGGCTTCGCGTCAGGACGGGGAGTGGCAGCTGCTTCCTATTATCCCTGTCAGCATYGTTTTGATGCAACTGCTCCATASCCTGGAACGCAGTTGGGATTCACAGCCCGCGTGGGCACGGGGCACACACAGGGTCCTGCGCGCGGGTGCGTGTGGCACCCGGCTGCGAGCGCCCTCACGTCACCCGGGGCCGTCCTGTCACCCAGGATGCGCCCGTCGGTGGCTGGTGCGGGCACCGCCAGCCCCAGCGCACGCCCCGTTACCACACCTGTGTGATGCTTGCAGACACAGGGCAGGCTGAGCAGCTCGGCTTCCAGCAGGCCTAAAACTGCTGCTTCTCCCCTACCAAACCAGCTGGGGACTCTTCTTTACAAACTTCGCTTTCAAAAGTCCAGCTGGGCACTAGTCTGACTAGTAGGACGTTTCAAGCTTTTGTTTTGTGCTTGTGTTCTGGCGTAGGGAGTTCGGAAGAGTTTTCGTTCCAAGGTGTCTTTCTGTTTTGAGTTGCAGTGTTAAGATGCAGTTCCCTGACCCACTGCTTATTTCCAAGAAGTTGTAGCTCGAAGTGGGAACTGCCCATTCTGCCCTCTCTGCTTTCATGGACCATGAGCAATGTGTCCCTTGAGACATTGCAAAAGGTCTGGATTAGCGTCGACTTCTAAAACAAAATCGTTTCAGTTTCCTAATGGAAAAGCAGAGAGAGGGAAAAAGAAAGGGTTTTTTTTTTTTTCCCTCGTGAGGAAAAATATTTTTTGCAAAACGTCATCAAAACCAAAAAGTGAAAAAGTGCCGACGAGCTCTGCTTATCAACGTGCTACTCTGTTCTGGTATCACAGTTGTACAACTGGGGCCGGCAGGCGGGAGGGTGGCAGCAGCTGTAGCGGCTTCCAGAGGTTTCACCACAGGGTAGTGACGCTGTTAAGGGAAGATCCAAGTAAGTAACCTCAAGGAATGCAGCAAAGTGTCTAATTCTAGTTATGTGACACRTTCCCTGGCCTTCAGGATCAAAAATGTGGGAAATGTAAAGAGCGGTACTGGATATGTACAGCTGCCAAAATAGAATGGCATGAGCGAGAAGGTTGGACTAGATGATCTCTAGAGGTCCCTTCCAACCTTGAATATTCTGTGATTCTGTGAATATGTATTTGGGCTTTGAGGAGATGAGGTGATGACTTTGCTGCTCCATTTCTTCCTGTTATATTCAAGAATTTTCAATTTCCTGTTATATTCAAGAATTTTAACTTTTGTTTTTATGTCACAACAGTACTTAGCTGATAAAGACCTAGACACAAATATTTATAACATTGTGTTCCTAGTATGGAGATTTTTAACCTTCTGTGGTAGAATTATATGATGAAGGGAGGGGAAAAGATCCCTAAAACTAATGGTGTAAGATATATCTTTATTTTTGGTTTGCTGTGCCATAGCTCTGTTAAGAAAATATTTATCATTAGAAGTTAGAGATGAGAAAGTAGGGAATCTGTCCTCAAGACCATGAAATGAAGCTTTGTGTGTCATTCAGTAGAGTCAAATAAGTGAAATTAAAGCAGTTTTTAAATGCAGACTGTGGAAACCACTAGGCAAAGCAGAAGACTCTCTGAGTGGATCCTAATACAGCCATTCCAGCTGGGATGGCCTTTGCATCTCCCTGGTGAGTCCCTTCTCATAGACCCTCAGTTAAACAGCCTCCCAGCGCATTAAGCGGGGTCCTGCAGAGCTCAAAGCCAGCTTGGAAGTTTGGCTCAGGCTTTTCCTTGGACACCATGGAGTGTGACCTGCGTGTGCTTGCCCRGGAGCTCGTGCTGAGCTGCACGTCCCTCGTCCTGACGCTCACGTCACAGGCCTGTGGCCTTTGCAGCTTTATCACAGGTGACCTGATGCTTCGCCCCTGGTGCGTGTGCAGCAAAGGCACCCGAGGAAGTGTCTGCTCCTTCCCCTTGGAGCAAGGGAGTAGATGATTAGTCAGGTAAGAACACGTGATGACTCCTGGTACAAAAGATGTTTCTGTCTCCACAGGCTTGTGGAGCCCTCCATCAAGGCTTGTTTTAATTAAGGGTAATGACCAGACCTAACTCCTGGATAAGGAAATTAGTTCTGGGATAAAGATTAAATCTGTGTGGATCCTCAGAAGGACTTCAGACAGGACACTGGCTAATGTAATCTCTGAGAAGAGGTTCTCTGTAATCCATGCAAGCAGATGTGCAGGCTTGCAGCTAGGTGACATCCTGGGTGTCAGGAAATCTGCAAAAAGACAGTTTAAATAAGACAGGCTGCAGTATAGGCAGGGGGGTTTAACCTCAAGAGATCTTTTTTCCTCTTTTATTTTTTGCCAACTTCTGTCAGAGTGCTCTTAACATTTAGGTACTAGAGAAGAATATTCATKTTATTTGCGTTTGTCCTTACACTGAAATCACTCTTACTAAGGCAGGTGAACTGGATAATACACCTTTTGACCCCAAAGTGTGATGAATCTGTGAACTGAGTTAGTTATTGGAGTTGCACCTCCTGGTGTGCTGGGTTTCTTTGCTGAACCTCCTGCCATTTCACAGCCTTTTTCTCAGGCTTGGGTGCTAGCACTGGCTCATGTTCTGTTCTCACGATTAAGATAACACAGGCTCCTTGTCTGCCATGGAGCTTCCCTATTTATACATATAGGGAAGCTTTTTCTGGGGTAGGGTTGTGGTTTTAAATATTCACATTTAGYATTTGAGCCCTCCCTTTTCTCAGAGTCACTGCTTCCCTGCATAGTGACTGTGTTGTTCTTGCATATACTTAGACTAGGTAGCTCAGCCCAGCTTAAAATCTAAGCGATCCTCCTCTAAGTCTKCAGCATCTTCAGCTGCTGTCCTTGGATGTATTTTTGTCATCTGCAAGTTTTAATGTGGCTTTTARCTGTTTGTTTTAGTGGGATAAATAGGGAAAAGGAGCATCTGCACCTTCGGAAGGGCTCCACCAATATGGGAAGCAATAAAAATGTTTTTCTTCTACCCCACAGGACACRTTTCAGATCGAAACCCGCAGAGCTTCTTTAGATGTTTACCTTGCTGATGGCAGCAGTATTGGACTTGATATCCAGACATCAGACACTGCAGARAGAATCTTAGAGGTAATGGTTCCACATGGGAATCTGCTTGAATGTTCCTGTTTGCAAAAAGGGGGCAGAAACTGAGATCAAATTAGTAGAGGGCAAAGCTTTCTGAAGGAAACACAAAAATATCTTCTCTGTTTTATGAGTTTTGGGAAGGCTTTGAGAGGATTGCTGATCTTGCAGATAAGTTCCTTTGGTTTTTATGTTTGTTCACCACTTTTCTCTCTTCCTAATATCACCRATTAGCCAAAAGCACAAGGGCTTTTTTGCTGCCCAGGTTTTCTTTGATAGCATCAGAAAATAGATGTTCTTTATTTTGGGGAGCCCTTCTTAAAATAAAAAAAAAAACTTTTTTTCCTGCAGTGGCTTGAATACTGTGAAGTCTAGTGCAATTGCCCTTGAATGCTGTAGCCAGAAAGGTTGACTCAGTGAGTTGATGCACAGTTGTTCAAACTCATTGTGTGACTGATAGATCTTGCTCTTCGGCAGGCTTCCCTCTCCCTGCTTTGTGTGCCCTGATGGGCACTGTGAAACTGTGGGGCTTCCTCTGTAATAGGGGCACAGCTTGAGCACTGGGGCTTGGGATGCCTCTAACTGCTGCTTTAGCAGTTTACTAGCTACATTTTGAAGCCACTAGCAACCAAGTGTGATTTGTACACCTGGTTGTGTGGTGCGTGAAGCTTTCAGATGGTCCTTTCCCCGTGCCTGGGAAGGAGGAGCAGCAGGGGCATCTGTGTGTGTGTGTGTGTGTGTGTGTGTACAGCAGGGCTGAAGCCTCCTGGTTGCTCCTCTTGGCTAATGTTACCAGCAGTAAGAAGCAAGCTCACACCACCCACACTGGTGCTCACTTGCCTGGGAATATGGACTCCCCCTCACCATACAGAAAGCTCTGTAGTGTGTTTGTGTGGGACCTTTGCAGTCAAGGCCCTAAAGAAGTTCCTTTTCCTCACTATTCACTACCCCCTTGCAGTGCACGTTGACTGCCCTTTCCTAGCATCCCAACATAAAACAGTCRGTGCTTTGATCCAGAAGTTCAAATAAATCAAAAGTCTGATTTCTGTGCCCGACATTCTTGTGAAATGCCATCTGGTGCACTTAGCATTATGCTACTAACATTTTAGTACCTATAACATTTTGGAGCTTGGTGGCTAATTAGCAAGTAATTTGGAGGGCTTTCTTAGCAGAGAGGCCTACAGGARGAAGGATGCTGATGTTAATAGTTTCCTTCTTCATCTTCGGACTTTTAAGACTTTATTCACTTTATACCCAGTGTTTGAACTGAGTGTGAGGCAAGTGGGTTTTGCGCTCTGCTGCCCTCTCAGGTGACAGTCCTGGTATTAACAAATATGAGGATAACACTCCCAGGTGTGTTTCTTAAATTTAACACGGAGTAATTCTTCTTAACATATATTTATCTCAACGTCTACTTTTTCCATGGGGGGGAAAAAGTGACTTATTTTAAATCAGCTGAAACAGCTGGGAAAAAATATTAAAAACAAAACTAAAACCTTCTCTCTATGAATGTAGTTGTGTGGTCTGTGGAGATGAGTGAATCTGCAGTGCTTTCACTGTGACACTGAGCTGGAAATGTTTTAGGGATGCATTTTATGGAAGGAGACTGAAAGCCAATTCTTCCATTTCATATTCAGAGAAGGGAAAGTCCATCCATCTTCGGTGACCAAAGGGCCACTCTTCAGTCCCTTCGCGCAGCCTGACGGAGAAATTATGCCACAGGATTTCAGGAATTTATCCTAAATTATCTGAAATCTCTCAAAGTTTTCAGGGATTGAGATGTTTCCTATGGTTGCCCCAGAGATTTTGTGGCTCTGGAGCCACTTTTAGTCTGTGGCTACTTTAAATTGCGCTCTGATTTTCAGGAGGGGAGACAGAGTAGGACGTTGCCGCTGGTTYCTGCTCCCCTCTGCCTGCTTCTGCCCCACCATCCCGTTGTGCAGCAGGTCCTTCAGTCATCTTTGCACTTTCTGTTGATGCTATTTCTGCCCTCTTTCAAAAAGACAGAAATGGGCCACAGGAAGCTTAAAAAAAGAATAGTCCAAATGTCAAGCAGGGCAAGATTTGCTTTCTTGCACACTGGCAGTAACGAAAACTCAGCAGAGCTCAAGTGGGCTCTGGACAGAAACCTTCCCATGGAAGAGCACAACCCTACAAGCAAGACTGGAGCTGTTGGTTAAAGCCTTTTCCTGGAATCTGCGAGCTTGGAAAGTGCACAAATCTGTATTTTTAGAGGATTTGTGTTATGCTTGTAAGGGTATTACTAGGTCAGGGCACACAAATGCTTACTGTACAGCAGGATTGGAAAATTCAGTAAGATTGGGGGTTACGTGTCAGATGCCTTGCACTGTAGTATACTTAAATGCATGGCAGAGTAKAAAACATGTTGTATTTTATTACTTTTTTTATGTTCCTTTGAAACTTATGAAACTCCTCACGAGCTCAAATGCTGCAATATGGGAATGGTTATACTTGTTTTTAAATTGGCAGCTAAGTAGGGCATAAGGGAATGGTTTAAAAACAATTAAGTTGCATTAAGAGGTATTGAAGATGCCTCCTGCTTATTCATGCTAATGGAGAGCTGACCTGCTTTGTTTTTAAAGGTTACATCGTACAAGATGGGACTATCAAGAGAACTAATAGGATATTTTAGCCTGTTCTTTATTCAAGATCACGGTGACGGGGCGCTCTCTGGTAAGCTGAAGTGCYGAATTTAGCCCTCCTTGGGTTTCTKTAGGCTGCAGTGATGGAATCTGGGATCTCTGAACAGAGCCTGAGCCTGCTGAGGCTGACAGACCCTTTCTGGCCAAATCACCCCCCTCGAGTCGTTCCCCTGTGGGGCTCAGCTGCCCCTCGCTGGGGAAAGTGGAGGTGGGAGCCAGGCTTGGCAGTAGGCTGGTGTGGGGCAGGGGCAAGGCTTGCGCTTGAGGACGTGGTGTCCTTCTGTTCAGAAGACATACATCAATTCAAGGCATTTAATCAGATGACTATATCTATTAAAAAAAAAAAAGTTTTTAATCCTCCAAGTCTCATGCTAAGTTAAACAATGGGGCAGGAAAGTCTTTTGTTAAGTTTATAAACAGTGTCTRTGACTTGCCTTCCTTTATGTCCTGCCACGTTTCCTTTCCTAACTGAGAGAAAGGGAGCAGTTGAAGCCCAGTGGTGGCACTGAGCAAGCTGCAAGTCCAGAGGGCCCCTTTCTGTGGAGCCAGGATACCTGAAGACACTTTTTTTCCCCCTCACTTCCTTACTGAGGAGCCGTCTCCTATATGGATGTGTGTGTGGATGGACCCACACCTGGGATTAAGATAGGCTGTGGCCAAATCTCTCCCCAAATTTAGCCATTGGTGGGAGTGCAGCTGGACATCAACAGCTTCCCCGTGGGACCTGGAGAAGCCAGGCAGCTTTTCTTCAGTCTCCTYACTGACATAAAGGTGCTAGTGGCCATTTGCTGAACCTTTGCAATATGAAGGGGTACTGACGGTTCAGTAATAAACTCTTAACATTTGGGGTAGAAACCTTCCTGTTTGTGTTCAATTTATTTAAAATTTCTCCCTCTGTCTGGCTATGAAATGCCAGAGCGCACAGGCTCCCTGGCTGTTACTATGTCACAAACATATCGGATATAACATTTTATGTGCTGTTTTATGACGGAATTTCGCTTTGCCTTGCATTACAATATAATTGAATACACAGAAGAGCATAAATTTTCAATTTATTGCAATTCTGCGTATCTTTGACACACCTCACAAGCACATCAAGTCAAAACGTAAGCCACAGCGCACTGCCAAGTAATACTGAAGTGTTCACRTGCTTAAAATAAAGCACGTGTTAGTGCTAGATTAGGGCCATGGTTCAAAAATATTTACAGGATTGGGTCTTTAAAAATTTTTTTAAAGGTACCCAGGAGAGCAGTCATCTCTAGAGTTGCATGTGCGACCTAGTGCCTGCTAGTTACAGTGTTCTCCTCTAGTGTTTTCTTGGAGAAAGGTTCTGATCTTGAAGTCTGCATTCACACTTCTCCACACAGACACATCCTTGCTGCTAAGCTGTGTTTTGAGAGAAGGCTCTTGTGTAAGAGCATATTCAAAGGGAGTAAAGATATTCTGTAAATAAGAGCAATTTAAGTCTAACTTGCAGAGAAGTGAGGAAGATAACCTGTCACCTTATTTTACCCAGTAACTTATTTCTGTGAATGTTTTATGYTTTTTTCCTCTCCAAAAGCAAGCTTCTTAAGCCATCTAATCCATCCCTAACTGCAATATGGGAGTAGCTGGCCTAGCTCACTAGATTTCACCAAATATCTCATTTTTCTTCTTTTCCCAGTGGTGAAGAAAGTGGCAGAATTTGAACTTCCTTATGTGAGTCTTCAGAGCATGAAAGAGTTGCACTGTAAGCTGGGGATCAGAAAGTGGTGAGCAAGAAGCTTAAGAGAGACGAGTAAGATGCACGACAATTGCTGTAAATGGTGTCAGAGTGAGAAGTCCTTTGGATACCTCAGATATGGAGCCCTCAGCAGCTTGACTGTTGTTCTTTGAGGCCAATTTGCTATTGGAATTGCCTGGTTTCTGTGGCCCTGTGTTTTATTTAAGTTCAGCRCTGTAGTATTTCTGAAGGGTTCTTCACAGCAGTGAACGCTTTATTCTCTCCCTCTTCGAGAATCTCTAGAGAGAGGTTTTGTACAAGCTTTACTTCAACTTTTATATCTGCATATTGAACTGACCGCAAATGGGAATATATGTATTTGAAAATACAACGATGCAAAAGAAAACTTAGGGTTTTGAGTTATAAGAACCAGCTCAGTTTGGGTAGAGGTGGATTCCTTAAGCAGCAAAGTTTGCTCCCCTTTCATTGCCACGTCTTGGGCACCTCCCCAGTTGTGCTGATAAACCGCATGGGCAGACAAGGCAAACGGAGCTCATCCAGGCTAAAAATAACTTGCTGGCTGTTTTTATTTACTTACTTACTTATTTATGGTGTGTTTGCCAATCTGTTTTGGCCCATGTCRGTGCCTCAGTGTCCGCGGTGCCGTGAGCGGTTGTGCTGCCTGTGGCTGAGGACAAACCCTGGGTTGCCAAGTGCTGCTCGTCCAAGGTGGCTGTCACTGCGTGGCGTGTGGGTGGCAGAGCTTCTGGTCCCTCTGCTGCTGCCCTGGCCGTGCTCCTGCTGCACTTAAACTGCACTTAAACTGCACTTACACTGCAGCTGGCAGCACAGCGGACTGGCACCAGGCTAGGCTCAGACCTCAGCACTGCAGCTGTGGCAGCAGGAGCCACTTGTGTGCAGAGAAGACCTGAATTGTTTGGGCAAAGAGAAGAAAACACGGAGCAATTTTACAACTACAGATTTTTTAATTGTAGTTGTTGGGTTTGGTACCACCAAAGTCAAGGGGGAGAAATTAATATAACTTCCATTCTGCGACAATGTTTAACTGCAGCGTGCACTGCAAGGGTAAAACTGGCTATGCAGTAGGTAAGGGGATGTATCTGCGGGTGCTCCCATCATGTTTGGCTGGTCAAAAGGCCATGTTAAGAAGTGCATCTTCATGTTTTATCACCTTTCTCCCTCCTGACAGGTATATGGATCCTTCTCTTGATACACTGTTGATGGACTGTGGAGCTTCAATTAATTTGCTGTATTTGCAGGTAAAACTGAAAGAGCTCCGGAATTTTAAAAGTAATTTTTTCCATGTTCATTTCTTGTTTTAAGCAAGTTGTTGAAATATTTGGCGTAGATTGCATTAGTATTAAACATGCTYATAAATTATCACTGCCTTGTGGTGCTTTTCTAAACGATGGCTACTGTTGAAGACTTGGAAGGGCAAATTCATGTACTGTAGACACTAACTCTTCCTTGTTTTGTGCATGGGAATTGCATAAAAGGAGCATATTTGGGCATCTCTCCATTTTCTTTTTATATCTCTGTAGGTGCTTTTCAATGAGGACGGTATTTGAATTCTAAATTGTAGGTGCTTTGGGTTGTACTGGCTTTGGAAACTATTAATTTGGGAGGGAAGAAAAAAGTAGAATGAATCTATTCCAAAATCCAAGTTCTTCCTTATTTGAAGAAACAAAACAAACAAAATGCCAGTTTGTGGTGTATGAAAAAGCTAATAAATTTGTACTGACTTTTTCTTTTTTACTACTATTTTTAAATCTTCATTCAAGGCAATCCAAGAAATAGAAAGAAACTGGATTAAACCAACAAAGGAGAAAATGCTAGAGCTTGAATTTCTGCAAAAGACTGAAAATAAAGTGAAGGTAAAATGAAGTTTTAAAACAATATAAACAGACTGAAGAGTGAACTTTGAAGCAGTGACATTGGAGACTCTGACTATTTAAAACAGAGCATCTTTTTGTAGACTGGGGTGGGCCAGAAACTCAAGTCTCCTACCTCCTGGTCAAATCATTGCTAGTGAGTTACTAGACAGAAAAGGGGGATCCTAATTCTGCTAGCATTTTAAAGCATCCCCCAGAATAACTTGGATACCGAAGGCTAGAACAAGAAGTTGGAATGTGAATCCCAGTATTTGCTATTTGCCAAGCTCAGGCTTGGCTCATCCAGCCTTCACATTCAGTTTAAGAAGTAAGATAGGAATCCAGGCTGCAGGAACTTTTGTACTCAGTATTTCCTACTGGTTAGTTTTCTCTTCCCCTCTTCACGGCTCTCATGCATTTGTCAAGATCCAGCTTGCCATACCATTAAAAGAAATAATCGGGTTTCTGGGAGCTTTAATCCCCAAATCAAGCACCACGATGTTGTGGTGGATGTGTGTTCTCCCAGGAGTGCACTAGGAATCTGAAAGATTTGCTTCCTACTCCATTTTCCAAATCCCTAGTCCTCACCTGTCTTTACAGTAAATCACTTTTGGTCTGTCTTTGTGATGCAGTTCCTGGAGCTGGTTCGGGAAGTGCAGTTCTATGGATACATACGACTTGATCCTTGCGTTTGTGACTACCCAGAAGTAGGTTGCTCAGCTGACGTCTACGTGGGCAATAATGAAATTAACTGCTACATAAAACTGCCTACTAACCAAACCAAAGAGGTCAGCTTTCAGATCAACAGGCTGAGATGTTGGCAGGTCACTTTTCTTGTAAGTATTGCACTGACTCTATACCTGAATTTGTTTTTTCTGCATGAAAATGGGGGTTATCAGGCAACGGCAGATCTTGGGGGCAGAATCAGTTTTAAATCTCTCCTATCCATGACTCCCCAGCCCTCCCAATCTTATCTTTGAACAAATTCCCACAGCCTCACTGTGCTGTGATTGCTCCCTTCCCTGGTGATTTTTCTCTCTTTACCTGCCCCTCTCCCTTGGTGTTGAAGGTGAAGTTGGCAGAGCATTTTGTGTGGGAGCAAAAGATTCGCTTGCGAAGACTGCCCCTTCCTTCATCCCACCTGCTCCCCCTCAGGAAAAGTATTCTGGTACAGATCTCCAACTGTTTTATTTAGCTACTATATAAAATGAATCTGACTGACTAATTCAGGTTTAAGGCTGAAAACCTTAGTGCTCTTCTTGGCTGATTCTTCTGTTGTTCTGCTTTTCTGTTTCTGTTCTGTTTCTCTTGTTCAGGGTGCAGGAAAGGATGGTGAAGAAGAGACTCTGGAGCTCAGATTTGAGTACAGAGATTCCGATAAATGGCAGTGGATAGTTTTTTACACAAAACAGGTTTGTCCTTAATCGTGTCAGAAAGGGATCAGAGTGAAATATAATCTTACAGCCACAGAGATTGGAATTTATTCTTAAAAAGTCATTAGTCCATTTCTTATAGTTGTTGTGTTTACAGCCTGGCAGGCTAGAGGCAGGGGAAAACTATTTCAAATCCTGTTGAAAGGAGRAGAGATCCACACACAGACACCCAGAGCAGGAGAAATGCTCAATACTCAGCAGCACCCTTGGCGTGGAGGCCTGGCACTCGCTTCCTGGGCTCAGGAATATCCCAAACAGTCAAATATCCCAATCAGTCAAACTTAGGCCTAAAGTCAAAGGCCCTCCCCAAGAAAGCCCCTTGTTCAAATATATGCCATATAAACACAATTAATGGAGGGTGCAAGGATGTTTCTTGATAGCAAATATTATCCTTGCACATAAATAGTGCTTAAACAGGATTTTATAGGGTGCCATCCTTCCACTGTTTACCAGCAGCTCTTTAAAGATAAAGGTATCCAGGAATTGATGTCAGACATCTGTGGCTTTGCTTTCTAGCCGATAATCTGGGCTCTGCTGTATCCAAGGGAGCATCAGCCTCGCTGTCCAACACAATAGCAGTCAGGATTTTTTTTTTAAGTAAAATGAAAAAGATTATGTTTTTCACACATAACTTCTGAATTCCAAGAAGATGATGCAGTTAACACAACTCTTTATAAGTGTTAGTTTTCCTGCCACACTTAAGTTCTGTGAGAAAATGAGCCATCCACATTCACACCATCAGTGAGAGCAGGAAGCTTTCCAGTTTCTTTACTGAAAAATATTTCAGTATTAATTCTCCTGTAAAATCTATTACAGTTGTGCTACATGTAGACCAGTGATTAGCAAAGCAGGGTCCCACCTTCCTCAGATGGACAGGGAGGAGATAAAAGCTGGAAATGCGCTGCTGAGTAGAAGTCCAATTAACTGAATTAGGAAAGTAAAAGCTGTGTATTTTGGGAGCATGCTTTCTGGTGGGGGAGGAAGGGGAGGAATGGAAGAGTTCAGTAAATCTTTTAATAGAAGTAAACAGAATGTTGGAATTGGAACATTTATCCTTTTTAGGCCTTTCTGCTGAGTAGCTGCTTGAAGAAAATCATCTCAGAACAGATGATGAAGGCAAGCAAAGAAGGCCAAGAAATGGTGAGCATGTGTGTATGTAGGTGCCTGAATAGCTGCTAAAAAGAAACAAAACTATCTATTTTTCTAAAAAAATATGCTTGGAAAAGTCCAACTGATGAAAAAGATCTTGAATGTTCCTACATTTCAATGCAAAATTAGTTGACTAGGAAATTATTTTTGCTTAGTTTTTTGGAAGTAGTATTATCTGGATGATAAAGACGTCTTTTTGTCATCATTTTAGTCATTTTTTCCATTGGACTTTAATTCTTGCTGCATATGATTAAAGACACTTATGAAATAATTCTTATGTTCTGCTCTAGCCTGTCTGTATTCATTTCTGGCTTTCATTTTTTTACCACTTCACTTGCTTGCCCGTCTGCTGCAGTGGTAGACCAATTTGGGATCTGCGGCATTACCACTGTGATACTTTCTGGTTTAAAATAGAAGAGTTAATAAAAATGTGATTTGTAGCCAAAATACTTCTGTTGTCTTTTGTGTAGGTTTTTAAACATGCGAGTATGTTTAAGTACTTATAATTAGAAAAAAAATCCTAGTATTGATGTGCTTGTGACATCTAAAGACTTTGTGGAATGGGTGTTATGTTAAATCTCCTAAGAGGGGGAAAGAGAAGAGTTTGCTTCTAGATGTGTGCTCATTATGGTGAGCAGGCAGGCAATGAACATTAGTTTCATTATGAAATAATAGCCTTAAACTATAAACAGTTAAAAATGGAAACAGACTCATTAGAATTTGGGGAAGCTTCAATATTTATCTCCTAAATTTATTTATAATGGAAGAACTGTCAACCTTTAATTGTGAGGATTAATATTCAGTATTTAAATGTTCAGTAGTTAATACTACTTTGAGTGTGACCAGAGCTGTAAGGGAAGGGCAAATACGCCAGTTCATTTCCTGGGCTGTTTCTAGGGGGTTTCATTGGACACCCATTCCATTGCCCAGCATATTTTGTTTCAATACTTGGGAATGTGTCAAGCTGACTGTAAGTTACTTCTTTCAATCCATTTAGGAAGTCAAGATGCCTGAATGCACAAAAAGTAGCAAGAGACCCAGCACTCAACAGAAACAGGTTAGTATGTGAGAAGAGCTCTCTAAAATGTGAATGCATAGTGTTTGCTTAGAGTTTTTTTGTTTGTACATAACATAAAGTAAATCTGATCATCACTAAGCCCAAAGCAAAATAATACTTTTATCTGATATACTTCTCACTCTCTTTCTCCTTCCAAAATTGAAGTTTAGCTCCCCTTCTTACTCAAATAAATTCCTACTAAATTTATCAAGAGTCTCCCAATTCAAAACAAGAGAGTGCGAAATGTGTCAGATAAAAGTACTATTTTGCTTTAGTCTTAGTGACAATTTGATTTACTTTGTTTTAAAACCATTTCTGAATTAAATTCTTTATGAAGTTCACAGAAAGCCAAAATGTGCATGTAGATCATGTGTCTGCACATCCTCAAGCAGCTGTTACTGTAGTTGTATTTGGGTTAACACTGGGAATGTTCATGTTCGTCTTTCCCTGTATTTGGGAGTTAYCTATTTGGTAAAGTGGTCATGTTACAAACCTGTACATATACATTCCTATTATAGAACAGATAAAATTTCAAGTTGCAGTAGTTAACGTGTTTCCTGAATAGTCCATTTTTAAGTCATTTCTTCAATGTGAGGTAATAAATAAATGAAAGAGGAATAATACAAACCAAATTCAAATAAGTTATTCTGTTAGACTGTATGACTGGCCAAAAGGAACTACTTCTAGAAAACTAAGATCTAATCTGAATTTGTTAGGAAAAATATATTGATATAGCTTGAGAAAGAACATGAAACAGCACAAAACCAATCASTATTTTTTCACAAGCAGATAGACTGGATTGTGTGGTGGGTTTTCTTGTTGCTTTGATATGCTCCTGCAGACTGGATTCTAGGTTCTTCAGTATTTGAAAATAATGTGCAATTGATAATAAAGGCGATGGCGTTTTCTGAATGGACTTGTTGTGCTTCTGGGGACTGAGTAACGAGGGGCTTCATAGGTCCCCCCCCAGGCAAAAACTTTAGATGCTGGAGGTTAAGTAATGACCAAGTTGTACGGCACCACTCTGAGTTTGAGGCAATTCTTCTGATTTTAACACACTTTACAATACTTTATTAGAAGCAAGATGCACTGCGTGTGAATGCTCCCTGTGGATTTTTGTGAGGAGAGAGACTTTGGATAGAGCAACATAAAGCCCCTCAGCTGGTTAAGACCCCTTAAGCAGAGCTGGCAACTCAAATGTAACTGTTTATTGAAGAAAGGCAAGGTACACTGCTGCTGGTGGTAGTACCCCATACTATGCACATGTTATGCAGCAAGTTCAACAGTGGTTTAGATCTTCTTGCACAAAGTTGTTATTAGTTAATTAAATAAAATCCTCAGTTGGGTCTTTATAATTTGGTCATTACAGATCTTTCATCTGGCATGAGTTGGCTGCAAGTTTATCTGATGGCTCTGCAAAGAGTCTGAAAATGTCTGCCAGGCGTTTTCTGCTGACTCAGAAGAAGAAAAATTTAATCTTGGTTTTGTGATCCTGTAGCTGCATCCTGTATTACTACTGGATCAGCATGACAGCCTGTAAATTCTTGTTTGAATAGATAATCCAGTGCAGCAATAAGATTTAGTAGGAAAATCAAGAACTGCTGAAAACTGCTGAACTGAGATAAAAATGACTCGACTAGTACAGCACATGCAGTCTGTGCAGACAGTGAGGCCATGCTCTGGCATGTGCCCACATCTAGGCACTTTTTCTGCTTGAGGCCTTTAAAAATATTGAGAAAAGAGATATGAATTAACATTAGGCACCAGACATTAGGAAACTGAAAACAAATTTTGCCAGGGCTCTCTCTCTGCTGAAGTTATTGCAGTGTGACTGCCATAGCCTTACAATAGACCCTTTAAGCAAAACGCTTGAGGACATTTATTTCCTAACTATCTCAAGATATCATTCTGTAAGGGGGGAAAAAAAACATTTGTGCCAAAAAAAAAAGAGTCTCCTGACATGACAGTATACTGCTGCAGCTACTCACCCTGTGAAGGGCTAGCTAGCCTGCTAACCTTCAATTCCTGAGCCCCTGTAACACACTGAACGCTGCCAGCATCTTTGGAGCTGCCCCTCCATCTGCACCACGCATAGGGCTAGTGCAGCACCCCTTAGCAGCAGAAACAAGCGTTTCCTCCAGCAACAAATTCTGTGCTTTCCCACATGCCAGCACAGAGAGCACTCACTGCACCTCAACAGTTACGTCAGATTTTCTAGCTCATGTTCATATGTAACTATTGAAATGCATGTACTCTAATTTAAATTGGTTTGTGTTTCTCTGCAGGTAGTTCATTCCAGTTTTATACCAAGGAGATTCTGGGGTCGGCCAAATGAAGAGGATTATGTATTTGAGAAAATAAGAGAAGAAGACCTGTGACAATTAATTTTGTATAGTGTCTTTTGAAGCTCTGTCTGAAAATCACAATCCCTTTGAAAATCTTGAATTATAACAAAAGTATCTTCAGTGCAATTCCCTGCCTTTGCAGTAGTCTCTGTCTAGAGAACTTGTAACTGCAGTGAACAACTCTTTTGAGTTAGGGGCTGTGAACCTGGAGACAGGCACCTTGTAGACACATGGGCATTTTCACATGGAAAATGCCCCAGCATTTCAGATGGCAAATCCCCCCAGGAGAAAGGGGAGGGTTAACAAGGGGAAAAAAAATAGTTAATGCAAGTACTTTTTTTTTTTTTCCCTCTAATGCCTTAAAATATATACTGTTTCTATGATTWTTCATATAATTAATGTGATAGCTGAGCAGGCTATTGCCATCCCTGCAATGCTCGGGAAAAGGCACGTGTTTTCCAGATTGTGCCTTTTGCTGGAACCTGTCACTCTTTCCTTAAACTTAYTGCAGAGCCCTCGCTGTGCCCCAAGGCGCCTGGCGCAGCACGGGAAGAGACAACCAGTTAAATATATTTACGATGCATCAGGAATTGAGTTTACACGATGACACTAGACCCACTGCTAACTACATCACTAAGTYGTTTGCCACAATGGTGCTCTAAGACTCTGAATATTTTTACTGTGCCTGCCCTGGAAGGCAGAATCAGGTGAGAAAAACAGAAAGCAAAAAATCAAATTTGGTATCTGGTRAGAGGACAATTAACTTCACCCCCAGTTTGCAGGCATTTCTCCACATTTCTGCATTTTAACACATTTCATACAAGGAGGGCCAGGAAAGGGCTTTCCAAACACGGAGTAATTGCATTATCCACCTGGGTGTTATTAGCTTTATTGTTGTGATGCAAGTTGATGGGCAGCGTTGCAAGGAAAGCTTTGATATCTCTCTATAGCATTTCCTTTGCTAAACAAAACACTTGGTTGTTAAAACTTTCGAAWYTTTTTTTTYTYTTTTTTTGACAGCCTGGTCCCGAGGTCGCAGCTGTCTGCTCCACCTCTCCCCCTGCCCCTGGGCTGCCCTTCGCTGCTCTCCGCTGGCTGGCAGGGAGGGCCCGTGGCCAGGCCAGGCCGCTGCCTCCCAGGGTTGTCCCCCCTGCCCAGCAGCGGCCTCGGCTGCTGCCGATGGCCCCGGCCCCGGCCCGCGGCGGAAATGGCGGCGCGGCCGCCGCTGCGTCACGCGGAGCCCATGGCGCCCCGCGGGCCACAGCGGGACGCGCCCAG